CAATATATATATATTCCACCTTTCAACTCTGTTGTTCCTAAAATTCATTCTTGCATTTTAGAGAACACAAACTCATACCAGACAGAGAAGTTCAGGAATTTCATTCCACTATATCATGGTATGGTTGCCTCTATTTCTAACTAACTCAGCTGCCTGTAAATTTAAGAATTGTTTATCAATTTGATTTGGAGTAACTGTAGCAAATAAAATGTTCTTAATGGATATAGGGAAATATATCATTAAATTGAAAAAATGATTATCACAGTTTTTCCACCTAGCACCAGCCAACATTTTCCACTTTCAAGTATGTGGGAAAACAAAAAATAAAGACAACTCAGAAAATAGCAATCCTATAAGGGACAGTATATCATTCACTGTAATTGCCATGTTATCTGCAGGTATTTCATAGACCACAAAAGAAACATTGAGCCTATTAAATACCGAGTATCCATTTCAATAAATGTGCTCACAGCACTGCATCGTTGACAACTGTGATTTTTTTTTTTTCTGTATGAGGGATTGAACTCATGACCTTGTGCTCTCCAGGCAGCTCCTTGTATACCTCCACTCAATCCCCAGACCCAACAACTTTAGATAGTAAATATGACTATTAACAATGTTTAATTTGCCATTGACATATTTAGTTATAAATTTTGTAAACTTACATTTTCACAAATGAAATTATTTTCTTTCCTTGCGGTTTAGATTACTTTTTTTTTTTAGGTACCAGGGATCAAACTACAGCCTAACTCTTTCCAGGCAGGCATTGCTCCCTCCTGAGCTAAATCCCTGGCCTGTATTAATGAATATTTCAGTTTATTCATTCAAATAGAAATGTGATTTTAGCAAAGGATGTCACGGTAGACAGAAATTGATATACAATCAGAGAGGAACTGGAACCTCAAATAGTCAATGCAAAATACTAAATACAACAATCACTGCTACAGGCACAGCTGAAGAAAGCCCGACCTGAATGTGAAGATGCAGTGACTAGGTCTACATGCTCCTGAAGAGAAAAACAACAGCTTGAAATGTACTACAGTTACCACCACCCCCTCCACGACCTCCTGATAGGCATCAATTACCATACTCAATGACCAGAACAACTGGACTACTGTTCCCACAAAGTGCCTTGGCTCTTTCCACATACCTTTTCTGGCTGACTTGTTCCTTGTTGAATAACATTAGTTAAGCAGCTATAAGCTTATAGGTTGATTGTAGTCTGAGATGCACACTGTACCCACATTGTGACTTTCCTGTATAAATGACCCCTGACAATAGGTCTATGGCCAAAACACCGAAGACCACTCCTGATAATTCAGGGCTATTCTTCTCTCTTTTTTTCTAAAAAATTTTTTGAAATTTTTTTGGTTTATGACTTCATTTCTCAGTGTTGTGAGTCATTAAACTTGATGCATTTGATATCAAACAGGACAGGATTATATTTTTCTTATCTCAATTTAAATATGAAATGTCTGCTAAAGGCATTGTTCCAAAGCCAGAATTTCAAGCTGCTTGTTTGCCCTGAGTTTAAAATTTCAATGAGCTTTTAGAAGTCCTCAGTCTAATGAACTGCAAATGTATTGGAGGAAGGAGGTCACTGTTGTCCTGTAGCACAATAGGTGCCATTCCTAAGTATGTGTTTGTCACTGCCTCCTGGATGCCACTACATGGCCTTCTTTCCACTGCAGCATCATTCAATAATTCCCATTTTACATAAGTCAAATTTCACTCAGCTCTATTATTGTTTGTTTTCAATAGTCTTTCTGTGTAACTGGTTGGGTTTTTTCCATTTTAGTTTTTGATTTAAAGACATAGTCTCACTTTGGAGTTCTGGGCAGCCTTGCACTCACTATGTAGGTTAGGCTGTCTTTGAATACATGGCCATTCTCCTGTTTCAGCTTCTTTATTGCTGGGGAAAAGAGGTGGGCATTATAGCACATGGCATTTGTCTTTTTCTCTTCTTCTTTTCACTACTATTCTTTCACTTCAGGGGCACTGTCATTTAATCCTGGGGTTTGCTTGTGTCAGTAAGGTTTCTGCAGCTTGAGGTGATTTTGTGAACAATAATATAGGAAGCCAAGCAACCCAATTGAGAAATGTGGAATTTCATTAGCTGGGCTCAGCACCACTTGTATACAGAAACCCTAACCCCATTTCAGGATCTAAACAAGAGGCTCTGAACTGGAAAGTTAGAGATGTTTTATAGATAGAATCACAAAAAGATCCTGTTGGAAATCATTTAGCTAGAATCTCATAATAATTTTTGAATGACAACTCTATTCCGTTTCTTTCTTTGAGTAGGATAATTTTTTTTCTTTGGGTACAGCTCATTTTGCTTTTCTCCTGAGACTTATACCCTCAGTGATTTTCCATTTTTCTGAGTGAAATACAAGGGCACTAGTTAAATGCAAAGCTCAAGATGGCATCTATTAAGCCAACCTACAACACAGCTAAGTTACAAGTCTCAATATTTTTTAGGGTAAAAACACACATATCTATAATCCCATACTCAAGATGCTGAGATAGGAATGCTGCTTTGAGGTTAGGGCAATTCTGTGCTCCATAAAGTGTTCAAATCTAGCTCATATACATAGAGAAAACTTGTCTCAATAAAACAAAACTAAACTAAACAAATAAAACCAAGCAAAACAGCTGAATGGAGACTGATTTCTTCAAATCTTAATTCCACATCTTGGGGATTAATTTTTGTATATACACATTTTTTGAGACAGCAAATTTAATGCTATTTTGCAACTCACAGCTAATACAACAGCCAAATAGGAGCACTGATTCTTATGCTGAGTCACTGCAAGAGTCCCTGTGCACTGTCTCTAAAGAAGACCTCATAGTGAAAGCCTGCAGGACCAGCATCCATAAACACAGAGGCAGACAAATATCTCATGAATCACTTTGATGTACTAACAATGATATCTCTTCAAATCTCATTTAGACCACTGAGTCCTTTGTTCTTAATATACTTAAGTAGCATTTTGATATTTAAATTTGGATTCATAGAACAAAACATAAATAACATCAAATACGATACATAAATAATAACTCAAATGTTCATGGAAAACTGCTGTATGTAAAAAATGTATAAACAATGAAACAAGGTACAAGTTTCAAATTATAGCTCAGTGTCACCAAGTGATCACCAAGTGATCACTCTCCATTCAGATATAAGAAATATATCTTGGGAGGCTGATGTAGGAGACATTCCTAGAGTTTGGGGCTAGCCTAAGTTACAGAGCTGTCTGAAATATAGAAACCCTGACTGAGACACCTCAAAGACAATGTGAAACTTGAAAAGTGACTGCATACGACACCTTTGGTTTGCTTTAAAAATTATATCCATACAATATAGAAAAATTCTATAATATTCAACATTTTCTGAGGAACAATGTTGATATCATACATAGTATACAGAAAACAATTTCAGAGCTGGGTATTTAACTCAGCAGCATGAACACCTACCTAGCAAGCTTGAGATCATGAGTTCGATCCCTGTTAAAAAAAAATTTCAAATTTCACCTTCATGACACTGGGTCATAATTAAAGATAATCAAAACTAGATCTCAAGTGAAGAACACAGAATTCATGGGTTGACAAGGATGTGGAATACTGATTCTTACCAGAGCTGGTGTTATTCACCTCAAGGAAGATATCATAATTCAACTTTAACTTCATGCTTACCCTAAGAACTACCCGACTTTCAGGGAAGACCCTCTCTGTTGTACGTCATGCTATTGGCACACTGAGTTCTGCCAGTCATTTCCACATCCTTTCCAAGCTTGTCTGATCCACCCTAAGCAGAAAACCATTCATGCCTTAACTACTGATATCCTTGCACAATTACAATTTAGGGCATCTCTTTACATGAATTAGTAAAGTCCATTACAGAACATTTCCATATTTAAACAATGTATATGATCAACCAAGCTATTAAATCACCTATTAATTCAGATATGACACCCATATTCCTTTCCATTCAGAAGTATATCACGTGTATATATATATATATATATATATATATATATATATTCATGCAAATGACTAAATTTAGGCATTTTTCAAGGAGAATTTAACAGGCAGCCCTTTCTGGAATTTGTCCTTAGTAAACACACTTTTCCCTGCCCTTGATGACAAATTTATATCTGCTTCATTTTTCTCAAAATTTAAACCTCTATGGATGTTCTCCCAAACATCGTCTATGAGCACATGTGTCACATCAAGTACGTTCAGAAATTCTTTGCATTGTTCTGTGTAATACACAGCAGTTCATCCGGTGTTTGGGAAGCCTTCCTCCACTGAGGCACATCACTACACATCTTTGAATTCTCAGAACCTTTGCCTCCACCTTTAATGAGCATGGAAATATGAGAACATAGTACAAATTTAGACGATCACAAAATACATAAATGCATAAGTTTAAGGAGAGCAGTTGTGGCTCTGAGGTCCTGCAGCACAGACATTTATAAACTTCTGGCTTTCAGATCTGTTGCTGAAAGGAATGAAAGCAGACACCTAGCTTATTACAGCTGCACCCGCTTGAAACCACTTCGGAATCAGGGTCTCCTCATGCCCTGTCCTGGGCCAGACTGTTGGAGGAGCAAGGGCAGCAGGCGATTTCAAAAATCGCATTGTGGCCTGGTGGTACCACAGTGGTGACAACATTCTAGGGACCCAGAAATATCCTGCACCCAGCGAGAGGTAAAAGCCACACAGAATGACTCCCTGTTGGCACTAGAGTACCTCAGGGTCTGAGGCTAAGTACGCAGGCTCTAGACAGCACAGCTGCTTCTCACCACTGTTTTTTTTTTTTTTTTTTTTTTTTGGTCTTTTTCCTTTTTATCAGTAACGGGGATCAAACTCATGACTGCCTGCTTTCAAAGAAAGTGCTTATGCTGCTGAGCTAAACCCCCAATCCCTTCTCACCACTTCTAACTGGTCTCAACCGGATTCCACCCCATTTCAATGCTCCCATCCCATATCATCACCATTGCGTAATTTGGAGGTCTCCGAGCTTCTTTCTAAGCAGTCAACGGAGAACAGAAGCAAAAAACAGTTGTCTAGCAAACATCTAGTACTCCCTTTTTTGCCATGATATTGCAACTGACGCCATGACACCGGAAGAGACAGCCTTCGTTGGCCCTCCTGATAGGACAGTTCTTACAGCCCGCCTCTTCATCACTGATTGGCTCCTGCTAAAAATCAATAAACCTATGAAATTGAAGCTTCCCTACAGGAATGCCCCTACTCTTTAACAAAGAGTTACATGCTCTTCATCACCAAGCTGCACAGGTTTTATGTTATCAATATGGTATAACACGGCAGCAGGCAGGAGAAATTGTTAAAAACTGTCCCTCATGTGAGCCTCTCCTTCCAGTACCGCATTTTGGAGTCAACCCTCGAGGACTCGGTCCAAATGACATCTGGCAGATGGATGTCACTCATTATCCTTTTTTTGGGTCATTAAAATACCTACACGTTACCATAGACACCTTTTCTCATTACATGCTTGTTTCACCTATGACTGCAGAAACTGCCACCCATGTAATACAACACCTACTATATTGTTTCTCTATCCTGGGCATTCCTCGATCCTTTAAAACTGATAATGGCGCAGCATATGTTAGTAAACCCTTTGCCAAATTCTGTCAGACTTTCCATATTAAACATGTTACTGGACTGCCTTATAATCCTCAAGGACAAAGAATTGTTGAACGTGCTAATCTCTCACTAAAAAACACATTAAAGAAATTTAAAAGGGGGAGATGGTATAAGTATTCTCCCAAAACCCTTCTTAACCATGCTCTTTACGTTCTTAATTTTTTAACTTTTGATGCATCCAATAGATCTGCAGCTGAGAGACATTGGTCTCCTCATTTGCCCTCCAAGCCAATGGTTTATTGGAAAGGCCCATTAACTAATCTATTACATGGCCCTGACCCAGTATTGATATGGGGAAGAGGGTATGATTGTTTTTTTCCCACAGACGCTGATACACCCAGGTGGATCCCAGAACGCTGTGTACGACATGCCCAAGAGCAAGATAGAAAAATTGCGCAGGACGATGCTTCGACTAACCATGACCTCGAGGACGAGAACAATGACCAGAAGGCCTCCTGCGACAAGAGATGAAACTTTTCTGTTTTTGGCTCAACTGTTAAGCATTATTTGGGTTTTGCATATATTTTATATGCCTGTGTGGGCAGATAATTATTGGGCATTTGTACCTAATCCTCCTTTGTTACACCCTATGTCATGGGGCGACAACGATGATGTTACTGTTTATGTAAATAATACTCGTGTCTTAAGGTTTCCTTCTTCCACTCACATACAACCTATCTCTATTGTATATAATTACACTGAAATGTCTGCTTCATTACTCCTATGTTTTTCTAAAACAAATAAGAATTGTACATTAATAGAAAGATATTCTGATTGGGATGGAAACTTTACTAATGGAATGCACTGGGGAGTAGATATGATGTATGTGTTTTGCAACAGTAGTGAAACTAGAGTGGGAAAAAGTAATCCCCCTGAGCATATTCCAGAATGCAGACAAAAATATCCAAGCAAAAGTGTATATAGACCCTCATGGCTTTTGTGCCATCATAATTATACGATATGTTACAAAGATCTATGTGATTGGAGTGATTACAGAGAAACAACCTACAGGCCCCGAAATTTATTATATGGAATATGGACAAGGAATAATATCACCTTTTTTACCATGCTGTGGAAGTTGGTTGCAGCACTTGATTACATTGCTGTTGCAAAGGAAAAAGTTGTATGGCAACATATAGGGACACAGGATGCTATTTCTGTTAATGGCACAGTACAAAATGTAACTATCATAGCTTGTATTTCTGAACCATATGGTGTTATAAGTGGAGAACTTACTGTAAATAAGAACAATGAATCTTATGAAATTACTTGTAAAGATCGCATCTTATCCAGTTGTGTAAATGCTTCACGAAACCACTCATCCATATTAGTGGTCAAACAACCTCCATTTGTATTTTTACCTGTTAATATCACCACAGAGTGGTATCAAGATCCTTCTGTGATTATTTTGCAAAAATTAACTAAGCTTTTAAATCGGGCCAAACGATTTGTTGGGATGTTAATGACTGGAATTGCTGCACTTATTACTTTGATAGCCTCCACTGCAATGTCCGCAATATCTCTTACAGAAAGTGTGCAAACTGCATCCTACGTTAATGAGTCATCCCATAATGTTTCTTTGGTTTTGAAAATACAGGAAAGTTGGGATAGTATGATTGAACAAAAACTAAATGCTCTACAAGATACAGTAATAACCTTAGGAGATCAATTATATGCTTTGCAAGTACAATCATCTTTGAAATGTCATGCCTTATATGAACATATTTGTGTTACTTCACATAGATATAATGAAAGTGATGTACCTTGTGATAGGGTGAAAAATCATTTGCTAGGAATATGGCATAATTCCAATACTTCTCTAGATTTGCTTACGCTGCATAAGACTATCCAAGATATAACCAATGCACCAGCAATAAAAGTTGACCTAGCAAAAGAAACTGAGCAAATATTCAACGCATTAACCAGCCATTTCCCAAGCCTCACGGGCATTTCGCATTTTATCATTCTAGCTGGTATTGGAGCTCTAGCATTTATTGTCATGATAACAATTTTTCCATATTTTGTGAGAACTGTTGTTGGGCAAATGAGAAATGTGCGTTTGGACTTGAAACGTTTTAAGTTAGAATCAACTGCTAATGAAATTCCCATGCGACGCTTTGTCTAAGAAATAAGGGGAATATGTTGGGAGCAGGAGCCAGGGGTCCCGCAGTGAATGGGTGTGGGAAACCACACACTGAAGCTGGACCTCAAGCAGTTCCTCATCCTGCAGTGACCTCAGCCTTCTAGACAAAGCATCGCGCTGATATTAACCTGGGAATAGCTTCATAACATAAACAATAGAAGTTTCTCATGGGCCCAAGAACATGTTTACCTCCTGGGCTGCACAACATAGAAGTTTCTCACGGGCCCAGGAGCATGTTTACCTTTGCTGTGTGCACAAGAAAGTGTCCTGAAGTGACTTGTACTGCTCTTTGTTTTGAAACATTATAAAAACTATGTAGTCCTTCAATAAATCGCCTTTTGCCTCCTGAGCAACTGGTCTCCCTTTGTCTTCAGTCTCTCACCTGACTCCTTCTCCGCGCTGGCTAAGACACCTGGCACCTGGCATCTGGCGCCCGAAGTTGGGGCTTGGAATATAAGCATTCGGAGCGTTTTTCCAGTGGAAGGAGAATCGGCAGTTCCCAGAAGACCGCTGCTACAGACGACCTGGGTAAGTAAAAAGTGAAAGTAGCAGGGAGTGGCATATACACAGGGATTGAGAATGGGTAACTACCCGTCATCAGAACGGGAACTTTTTGAACAAGTTATTTCCTCTTTGTTAAAGAGTAGGGGCATTCCTGTAGCTAAGCTTCAAATTCATCGGTTTGTTGATTTTGTGCATCAGGTTTGCCCCTGGTTTCCCGCACAGGGAATGGTTAATGTTGAGACTTGGAAAATAGTAGGAGAAAAGATTAAAGATTATTACTGTGCTTGGGGTCCTGAGAAGTTTCCTGTGGATGTGTTTCCAATTTGGACTCTAATTAAGGACTGTTTAAAAGGGGACTCTGAGTCTAGTAAATGGGAAAAAAGAACTCGAGAAAGTTTTATAAGAAAAACCAAATCCTCAGAGAATGTGGCATCCTCCTTATACCCCGCCCCCCCCACCCCCCTCTGCTCTGCCACCACTCTCTGAGCCACCCTGTTACAATCAGCCCGACTAGCTCAGTTGGTAGAGCATGAGACTCTTAATCTCAGGGTCGTGGGTTCAGGAGTCAGCCCCACCTTGTGTCAAAAGTTTGTGCATGTAGCCATTGCCAATACCAGATCTAAATTTGCCCATGCCACCATTATTCATTATATGGATGATATTTTAATAGCCCATCAAGATTCTGAGATGCTTTTGCAAGTATATACCTCTCTTCATCAGGATTTAACAAATAATGGGCTGGTCATCGCACCTGAGAAGGTCCAAACTTCACCTCCTTTTTCTTATCTAGGTTTTCACTTATATCCACGGCATTTTTCTCCTCAACGATTGTCTGTTAATACTTCTCGCTTGTGTACGTTGCATGATTTTCAAAAACTCTTAGGCGAAATTAATTGGATCCGGCCATCTCTAAAGTTAACTACTCAAGACCTCCACCCATTGTTTTCCTTATTAGCTGGAGATTCTGACCCAAGTTCACCCCGGCAAATGATGGCAGAAGCTCGCAAAGCTCTTCAACTGGTTAATAAGGCTCTTCAAAGTGCGCAGCTTCATTATTGTGATTATTCCACTCCCTGGTCTCTTATCATCATACCCACGTCTTTTTCCCCTACAGGTGTGTTATATCAGCAGGGAGTTCTCTCATGGATTCATGGTCCACATTCCCCAAAAAAGGCTCTGCCCCCTTATGCCTCTTTGGTTGCAGAAAGGATTATGCAAGGAAGAAAATTGTCTATAATGCATTTAGGAAGAGACCCTCACTCTATTATAATCCCTTATACATCTGAACAGCTCGAATGGTTGCTTCATATGACTGATTATTTTCCTCTTTCTCTAGCATCCTATACCGGTCAAATCTAACATCATTATCCCAAGGATAAAATTCTTCCATTTGCCTCCAAGTTACCTTTTCATTTCCTCAAATCATACGCATGAAACCCCTTGTTAATGCTATTACTTTATTTTCAGATGGAAGCTCCAATGGAAAAGCTACTTTAGTATCCCCAAGTCAAACTTATGTATGGCAATTGAGGAGTACTTCAGCTCAGGAGACTGAACTTTATGCTGTTCATCAGGCGTTTATTCTTTTCTTTGATGTTCCCTTTAATTTGTTTCCAGACAGCCAATATGTAGTACAAGCCTTGTCTGTTTTAGAATGCGTTGGTGATGAAGAGCATGTGACTGTTGTGATTGCAAAACAGCAGACAGTCCAATGTGCGTGGCTCGATCTGCAATTGCATTTCCATGAGTTAAAGCACCTGGAAGATTAGAGTGACTGCGAGTATGTCCTACAAAACAAGGTGCAGATCGAGAATGTAAAGATGATTGAATAAGACCAAATAACTGTGCAACAAGGAT